CAGCCTTAGGGTGAGGTAGGAAGAGTTAGTTAATGTCAATAAAACAGGAAGGGTCAGAAAAGGTCAACACCTTTACAAAACAGAAAAAGACAAGCCAAGACATTGATAACTAAAGAAAGCCTGACAATAGACGTAAAATAAGGTTAAGAGCAGAAAGATGAAAATGAAAAGACCAGTAACAATGGACTTTTAAAAACTGGCATTAAAATACAAAAGAGGATATAGAAAATAAGAGATGGAGCTAATATAAGAGATGTGTTTCTGCTGAAAAATGAGAGACGTATGTTCAAATTGTGAGCCTTGTTGAGTTAACCTCGTCCTTTAAACAGACTACAGAACATGTCTGAGGTCAGTGTACTGCAAGTTACATGTAAACCACTGCCATTGTCTCCTAACTCGTTTGAACTTCAATGTTTGGGAGCTGAAGAGCCACTCACAGAGCCTCAAAGGGCACAGAAACAGGCACAGGGATAGACTCTGCTATGATGTTAGCAGAATAAACCCCCACCATGCTGAATAAATATGGGTGTGTAAGAAGACAATACGTGAAGAGGGCTGAAGGAGAACTGAAAGTGGGTCATTAATGCTGTCTTCTTAGTGACATCCACACACTCAGCAAGAGCACTCTTTCATTTTCTGCAGCCAGGATTTATTAAGTCTTCTCCAGCTTCCAGACGGCATCACATTTACACAGGAAAATGACCACATCTACAGACAAAAGGGGTTTCTGTCTATAGCTGCTACTGGGGGCGTTTCTCTGACCCGGGGAGACGAAAGCACCCAACTTCCTCTGTTTCAGGAAATCATGAGGAAACACAAGGGGTGGTGGTTACAAATTGTAAGGGAGGCAGACTGAACAAAGAGCGGAGGGAAAGGGGCAGTTTGTGGATTTGGGGAAGGAACATATAAATGGCAAAATTTTCAACAAATAATATGTAATTAAAAAAAAACTTTAAAAAAAGTACGTTTTATCTGAGTCTATGGCTACGTAAACACTACAGGCCTTGATGCTCAATTCCGATTTTCTGTGAAATCCGATTTTTTTTGCGTTGCCGTTCACATTTCCAAATATATGCAACTTGTATGTGATCTCTTGTGTGAACTGCATTCATACAACGCAAGTTTCCCCCATGCACAGTAGAGGATGCAAAAATGTAACGGTAGTGCTGGAGCGCATCTAGCGATCTTTCCCAACCATAAAAACACAACCTTTTAAGATGGTTAAACATAAATACTGCTTTCCACACCATCGTCTGCCATTATTGTTCTTTTTTCTTTTGCCGCTTCTTCATAGCCAGACCCCCAATAGAGA